GCAGCATCTGAGATGGAAAATGTCGAGGCACTTTTCTTGTCTGCTGTACAAGGTCCATATTTCAGATCCATAAAGGAGTGTGCTGAGAACACATGCTTCGTAAATTTTGATCTTTGTTTTGATGATTAATCTTTTGTTTTCCCATGCTCGTTTTGTCAGCCTTCCAAAAGTTGTTGCTTCTTTCCCTATCCTGGTGCTGATCTCATAATCAAGTGATTTAGTAGAGCTGATGGTAGACCCCAGGTAACAGAACTTGTCCACTGTCTCAAGCACTGTCCAAGATATAGGTTGAAAACTAAACTACCGTAGTGTTACAGTAGGCTATGAACATGTAGATCTATTGGTTTACTTTCAAACGAGAGGGATTTTTTTCTTGGATGCCATACCTGATGTGTTTTGGACAATGGATCACGTTGAAATGTGGAAGTCGTGATTCGAAATACACTGGACTATGGAAGAGCACATCGTGTAATGAGGCCGATCTGTTCAAATCCACGCCTGTATTGGGACATTTGTCGCACACATCTCATTGAAGTGTAGGCCTGAAGCCTTGGCTGGCGGTGCATCGTGTATGACAATGGGTGGTTCCACAGCTCTATGAGCAGTTCATTAGATTCATGTATAATGTACCTAAGACAAGCCTATTACTGTTCAGTGAAAATTAATAATATCCCGGCGCTCAACCCCGATTGAAGTCCAGAGGCTCTAGGCGCTGTACAATATAACAGTAACATAATATACAATGACATTGTGTTCGGACCACTATTTTATATCTCATTGATTTAAAAACAGAAATGACTTTTGCTTACATTTGAATGAATAAAAAGTTTTGGTCTCTCTAAAACTAATAGGTAAAGCATTCTAGAACTTGGGGCTGCGATATACACATTGTCATGTCTGTTCACCCGCTGTTTGAATTTTCATAGTTGGAATGTACAGTTTCAAAAGATTTATTTGATAAATACTGTAGCGCATTATCACACAAGCATTTGTGACATAGAGTGGCCAACGTGTAACTATTTTCTCACCTCAAAGCCACTGGGGTGTCTGCAGAAGAGGTGTCGCGTGAGTGTCACTTACCTTTCTGTAAAACTATGCACACAGCGCTGCTTTGGGCAGTTTGAAGTCTGTTCTCTCTCTCTCTCTCTCTCTCTCTCTCTCTCTCTCTCTCTCCAGCGATATCCCTGATCACAAGGAGTTACAATAATCAAGTCTTAATAAAACCAAGCTATTTACTAATAAAGCAGTACATGTATACTTTTACTGCTGATTAGATGATGTATGTTACTGATTTTAAAAATATTTCTGTAGCATGCTGCTGACCGAATAAAATAGCCCAGCTGACACTGAAATATTGGAATCAATATAAATGTCAAAAACTTCAACTGTTCTTGAAAATGCAATTTCTGTATCCCCAATTTTCATGTAACCGTTGCCAACTTCATAGATTTTGCACTGCCTGCCAGAATGACATCGGTGGTATCATCATTCAACTTCCATTTGTTTTTGTGCTTCCAGTTTCCCCTGAAACAATAGATCTATACATGTTCAGCTCTATGGACAAGTTCATCTAAGTAAACATTGCTGAACCATAAATTTGGGTATCACCAGCATAGAATTGATATATTAAAGTAACACTACACTATTTCTTTGACAAGCGGTTGCGTATACATGGTGAACAAAACTGGACAGAGAATTGAACCCTGGGGTACCCCATACATAAACATGTTCTGTTGACTTTTGATCTTTAATAAACCCATATTGGTATCATTTTGATAGGTAAGAACAACACAATTTATGACTAGCCCCGAATGTTCCAAAAGACACTTTCAGTCACTTCATTGAAATGTGATGGTCAAATGTATCAAAAGCTGTTGCTAAAAGACACACCAGAACAAATTTTCCTGAATCACAGTCAGTAAGCTTGTCATTTATGACTTTAAGAAGCGATGTTTCTGTGCCGTGGTTGGCTCGATAGATAGACTGGAATATAATGTGGCTCTAGATTGTTCACTTGTAAGTTTTTAAAAAAAATCCCCGATTCGTTGTTCCCGAGTTTCATTGTATGAGCTTGTTGTTTTGAATAAGAATTAAATGAGAGACTTTGTACATTGTAGTTGCATTTGATCAACGTTGTTAGTCCCTTGTTGATATTCAAATATGCTCCGAAAAATAATGAATTTTATTATCAGAATGTTGCTTCAATAAAGGGTGCCATAAAAACAAATTGCTAACTTCGTGAGTCAATATTTAAACTGTGTACACTTCTTACACGTATTATTATTATTATTTCTTCTTCTTCTTCTTCTTCTTCTTCTTCTTCTTCTTCTTCTTCTTCTTCTTCTTCTTCTTCTTCTTCTTCTTCTTCTTCTTCTTCTTCTTCTTA